ACAACAAAATAACCAAATTCTTTTTAAAAGGTGTCATCAAGTTGTGTACCATGTTTTGGCTCAAAAATACCCTTTTCGCATTACAGCAAAACACTTATTTTCAGTTCAAACTGCTCAAAGTGACGTTTTGCTTTTGTTAAAATAACACCTTCAGCTAAGAGAACATGTGGTTAGAAGTTATTACTGGGTAATTCCCGCATGTCTTACAGAGAAACCCCCTTTTGTAATGAGGGTCTCCACTGACTGGCGTTTCTGACAATCACGTTAGTCTCGTCACACAAAAAGTGCTGCTGCGCCCAGAGTGACGGTGATATGATGAAGATGGATAATGTGTGATAACTGTTATTAACTGCACAACAAATCCTGGGCTGCATACCAGCGACGACGGCTAAATCTTAGGGAGATAATGATCAAAGTACAGCATTGGCAGAGAGAAAATTGGAAGAATGAGAAAGGTGGAAAACAAGTTTATGGAGGAAAAATAATATGCAGACTTTGCCAAGGAAAAAAAGAAGGAGACCTAGGCGCTGTTTAGAGCTGGGCCGGGGTCTCCGTCTCCCCATCCCCGTCACCTCTTATCCTGGCAGAACAAAGGGCGGCAGCCTCCTAAATGTGGCGCATTAGCCCTTTAGTTCCAGAGGGGGTAAGGTGACACCCTCCATGTATGTGGTCTGTTCAGCACACATCTGTCAGGGCCTAAGGGGGTGGGCTGAGGCGGTGGGAGGGATACTGGAAGCACAAGGAAGACGGAGGAAAGAAGCGGAGACCTCGAGAGAAAGGGTGTGTGTGAGTTTCTTCAGGACCCCTGGTGTGACAGAGAAGCCTAATACCCCGTATTTACTGTGGAAGAATTAGTCCTATCGCATGATGCTGCTAAGCTCGGCTGGTCCCCCCCCTCGCTTCTTTATGTCTGATACTCGATCAGAGAGCAGATATAAACACAAACGTACAGACACAAACAAGAGAGACATACTCCTACAGACCTGCTTATTACATTAGGTGTTGCTAATACACTTGTTCGTTATGAGAACATCCTGAGCAGTTCACAGATGTCCCTCATTCAAATGATTTTTTATCGAAATTGGCTGATATTGATTTTGAATTTTATATTTTTGAATTTTCTTGAACTTCAGGATTTTCTTGTTTCTGGTTTTACATCAGCATATGTGGACCTTTCAAATTGTATTAATGTAATTAAACACAATTTCATATGTACATTTAATTCTCAGAAAATCTAATCCAATATACTACTTCAGCATCACAGGGCTTCATTTTGGACTCTATTTAGACTTCTAGCAGAAAAGATATACCCCCCAGGAACTGCAGTAGACACTATTGTTATGAACCAAATAATACATTGCTCAATATTATTAAAATCATAAATGAGAAAACTTCTCCCTGACAACTTCAGCCAGGTGCCAAACTTGGACAAACCAATAGGGGAAGTTAATTCAGAAGAGTGAAGCCCTGCCAAGTTCAAGCTTCTGATGAGGTCTAAAGGATTGTTTGTTTTGCTGCTGTCAAAGGTTCAAATGGGGAGAAGACGGAGGTTTTGATGACCCCTGGCCCTCAGGTCCTTAGTGGGTGTTCTGCAAACACTCCCTATTGACGTGTGGATAAGAAGAGGCCCGCTGCCGCACACAGTGCTTCTGCTCATTTGGGTGGAAATGGACACCGCTCTGAAAAGAGCTAAGAACCGGGCAAGTGGCAGAAAGGAAAGAGTATAATGCATATGTAAGGGTGTCATGGGTGCTGTGTGTGTGTGTGAGTGTGAGTGTGAGTGTGAGTGTGTGTGTGTGTGTGTGTGTGTGTGTGTGTGTGTGGATCTGAAGTATAAACATGAATTGAAGTTCTTGGGAGTGCTTTGCTTTTAAATGTAGAAAGACTACTTCAGTAGGCCACCCTATATGTATATTTATGGTGTATGTAGAGAGCAGGCACTGATAAATCACACACTGAGGGTGCCAGTTAGCATATTTCTTCTTATTGCTATGAAGTTAACTTGATATATACATCTATATATATATATACTGTCAAACTCTATCCACCTGAACTTCCTTGACCTGTGCAGGACGTGTTATGAAACATAATGTAATGTTTCCCTGCAAGTTGGTCACTGCAGCCAGTGATACAAAGGCTAATGACCATCTTTGAAAATCAACTACTTCAGATGAGTTATTACCATTATTCAGGAATCAATTTGTATTTCAAATCAATGTATCCTATGTTTGTTCATAGGCACATTATGACAATATGACATATTTTATTCAATTCATAATAGTTATTAAAGGTACAAATATTGACGAGCAAGTGATCTTATTATTGATGAATTAGCAAGTGCGTTTCTTGGAAATATGGTGTGTAGTGTGTGTTGGTGTGAGTGTGTGTAAGTGTGTAATATGTAGGCCATGCAGGAAGTGACCCATAAACATATCCATCCAGCTCTTTCATTGGGGGCCAGTGTTGCCCTCCTCCTCTCACCTCCTCATCCCGCTCCACACACACACACACACACACACTCTCTCAAAGCCCCTAGTGAGCGCTAAGCAGGCCAGCGGGCCAGCCGAGGGGGCTCATTACAGGTCCACAGAGCCCCCCAACACAAAGGCCTGAGCCGCTTTAGCCATGGGATGATCTGCTCTCTACTGACTAGAGAGAGTCCATAGACGGACAAAAGGAGGGAGGGAGGGAGGGAGGGGATGGGAGAGAAAGAGGTGGAGGAGAGCAGAGAAGAGGAGAGGAGAGCCACGGGCTTTAAGGATGTCAGGAGTCCCCGAGAGAGAAAGCCTGGCGGGCGCTCAGAGAGGAACGGAGGGAAGGAGGAGGAGGAGGAGGCTTAAGCTCCACGGCTACGTCAGGACATTAACATTCACACAAACTCCCAACATCTGCTGCTTCCTTCTCGCCCTCCATCCCTCCCTATATCCCTATCTCCCTCCGTCCACTAACAACACCGGAACAAAGACGGTGAAACAGAGAGTGATGAGAGAAAAGGAAATGAAGAGAAGGAAAAGACATGCGAGATGAATTTATGAAATGTGACATCGCAGCCGCCGCAGGGTCAGAGGACTTGAGAAAAAATATCTCAGTAATAATTTCTGTCACACAAACATGATTCAAATTACTGAGGGCAATCAATGGTTAATTACAAAACAGAGGAAATTAAATAAACATGGGTGGAATAAAATAACAAATCAGGCCAGGTTACAAATATAAACTGCTTTATCTCTCGAAATCTGTTGTCAATTTGTTTTTTTACTGTAGATCGTTATGAGCGATATGATCACAGGCACCCCAAGGCCTGGAACGGGCCAAAATGGGCTTTCTGGTGGAGACAATCTTTGAGTGAGCCATAAACCTGTTCTTTTGGAAGCTTCCAGGAGAGAGAGGAAAACCAGAGACATGAGAGTGCATTAAAGCCTCTCCTCTAGTCCCGTGTCTGGCCCTGGGCCTGTGTCTGCGCCAGTCTGGCCCAGTGCACTCAGAGCCACATGCTCAATTTTATGATGCTCCACCACCATTAGTGCAACATTAGCCTTGAGGTGGCAGGGCAGGGCAGGGAGTGCGCGATATACAAGAGAGAACATAAGTGAGCAAGGGAAAACAGAAGTCAAATTATTCCCCAGTCCACAAACTATGTGGAGTGAATTCAAAGTGTGATGAAGTAAGATTTGCTTCACAAAGTTCAAAATCAGGGAAATCACAGAGAGGGATTGTAGCGTTGTTCCGGGGCCTACAGTAAGGCTGAACAAGTCTTAAGTGAGGTAAGTGTGTGGCTGCTGGGTGCTTTATAGATGATGTATAGTTGCTTGGTATATTTCCTGTGGTGAAATTAGAGCCCTGTTCACAAGTGCTGGGCCAGTGTGTGTGTGTGTGTGTGTGTGTGTGTGTGTGTGTGTGTGTGTGTGTGTGTGTGTGTGTATGACTGTAAACATGAAGACATCTTTCTCCACAGTCAATCTCTGCCTGTCACATCTGGCTCGCAACCCTACCCTTCGAATACACACTGGAATATATACACCGCGTGCATGGTGACATGTATGACTTATGTACTGGGAGGAGTGTTTGAAATTAAGCTGCAGTGAATACGGGCCCAGAAGCACTCAGAGCGGAGAGCAGGAGAGTGAGTATGCATTTGTCTGTGTGTGTGAGGTTTTGGTAGTGTGTGAGTGTGTGTGTGGGGAGGGGTGATATGAGTCTACAGTATGTATGGGAGAACAAGTACCAAACCCGTCCTGGACCAGAGTGAAGTGCGGATATACGAGACTGTGGCTCATTTACAACTCAGGATAGGAAAATCTGTGTTGAGCTGCTAAATATACTGTAGCGACACTTTTTTTTTTAATTCCCCTGATATGAAATATGTACATCTTTATATCGACATATGTATTTCTAAAGTGGCTTAACAATAGGGTTGTTCTTTTTCAAACAGTCACAAGGTTTGTCACCATTATGTTTTAACAAATTAGTGTAGGCCTTGTTACTCTGCTGCTTCCACAAACCTGTCGTCTATATGCAAAAAGTAAATAATGTCCAGTCAGAATAAGACGTACTATATCTCCAAACATATTGGAATAATTACACTTTCTCTTCCCTGCTCCTTTCCACCATGGGCTATCCATGTGCTCAAAGTGTACATGTTTACCATGAGTGGAACAAATACAAAAGAAAGAAGAAAGAAAACTGAATAGCCCAAGGGTGAAATAACAGAGCTATGTTTACAAATGACGGCGGATGTAGTTGAGCAAATTGATGTGCGACATTAGTGTGACAACCCTGGAGTCACACCACTATCATGGCTTATTGACAGAAAAGTGATTCAGCACAATGAGGTGGACCACAGACCGAGTCTACTCTTAAAAACATGTTCACACACTGCCTTTAGGTAAGCATCTCTGAGTGAGTGGGTGAATACAACTGGCAAGTGGGAGAGCAAAGCAACCACTCCAACCCTTTATACAAAATGCCAGTGAAGAGAAACAGAATAATAATCCACATACCTGCAGCCTCTAGGACCATGTGCATTCGGACTTTAGCCTGTTCTGATGGAGTCTGTAGAAGAACAACAGACATATTAACAACAGAAGAAAATGAGTCAACAATAATAATGTGATATTGAGTTTCTCATTCTTCCGAGGAAACTACAGAATATACTTTTGAGCTGGTCTCAGCATGTTGCTTGAGGGCACATTAAGCAGAACAGACACTGGTTAAAACAAAAGGCTTTCATATGGACGACCGACCTGGTTATGAGAGCTGCAAAGTTTAGTTGATCTAAAGAAAAATAATCACCAACTTTTTTGGAAATTGATAACTGTTTGAAGGAATTGTACAAAAGATAGGTTTTTCTCTGGCTCGAAATGTTCGAATATAGAGATTTTATACTAATTTTTCATACTTTTGAGAATATGAATAATTGATTAAATAGTTATCAGATTAATCAATAGTTAGGGTAATTTTTTTGTTGCAGCCCTTATCTTTACTAAACCACCCGTCTGCCTGGGATATCACGTAGCCCAGTGCATAGTGTAACTGCAACCCTCACACTGACACAACTTTGTCCATGTAATGTAGCTGTGATACTGTTGTGTCCCTTGAAACATATTGTACCCCTGATAATCTTTAACTGCAACCATTAGAGAAAAATGTTCCCCTTAAACTGTCCTCACAGAGCACCAAGGGACAACTTCACCAATCTACCAGTCTAATCATCTGTATGAAAAAAGAAACAACCCTGCTGGTGAAAAACAGAAAGCAACAACATCTCACACACACCAGGGAGAATCAATGAGGGAGAGATGAAGAGAAATTTAGAGACAAAGAGGGAGAGTGAGAGGAGAAGAGAGAAAACAAAAGCTGCTGTAACAAGTCTTTGGAGAGTTGGATAAGAGGGCACAGAGAGCACATTTTACAAAGATCACAGCCAAAGACTCAACATATTCCCCATCCCATCATGTGTGTGTGTGCTCGTGTGTGTGTGTGTGTGTGTGTGTGTGTATCAGAAACGCTTAGCGGGCATGTTCAGGGGGGAGGGTCTTGTGATTTGACAGCTGTATTGGGAGGCGCAGCCCTTTTTCCTGACATGCCCTCAAAAGGGTCTTGCTGTAATTCCAATATCACTGCTATTAGATTTGAGGGTCTTAATTGTCAAGGAAGAATGATGGCTACGACAGGGCGCCGAGCTGTAAAAGGCGAGCGCGCTGTAGATTGCGCTCGGATGTTTTTCCGGAGTTGCCGTGGCACAGCGGCCCTCGTTACCATGCAGCGGTTGGGACTGTGTGTAGGATTAGAGAGAAATTAAATGCTAATGGGGATGGGATCTGAATTCTCTGCCTGGGAGCATCATTTAGACGACAGGGCCGGGGCGTCGCTGACAGGCAGCGCTTCTTCCACCTCCTCCTCCTCCTCCACAGACAACCCTGCTTTTCCTCCCACCATTCCCTCTCCTATAGCTTCCCCCACCCCACCCACAGCAAAAAAAACTGATTTATCAGACTGTAAACTTGTCACTTTGTAAAAATGTCACTACTCGGTGGCAGCCAGGGAAATATAATGACCCCCTTTAATGTAGCGATGTCAGGGTGCTGTATCCTAGATGGAAGGCACATCAAGGCACTGCAGACAGACTGACAAACACTTAATGCAACATGGATGTGTGTGCGCATGAGTGTGGGTGTGTGGGTAGGTGTGTGTGTGTGTGTGTGTGTGTGTGTGTGTGTCCTGTAGCAGGTGAAAAAGAGCACCCCGCTCACACTGACTGGCGCTGCTCGACAGCTGAAATTACTAATCACTATTTTGCCGAAGAAGAAGTATAACACTTGAGGCCTTCACCCACACACACACGAACACACACACACTTTCTATTACCCCTCAAGTGATGAGGGCAAAATTCTGTCATTTTCTGGCACCTTCTTTAAAGCAAAATAAAGGATTACATGCCATGAAATAAAAAATCTGAGAAGGATGGTTACATGGTACAAGGCTTATCCTGCTGGACAATGAGAGCGATACAGGAATCAGTCTCGGTGCAACCAGTCGTGTAAAGCAACAACGCATCACATCGTAACTAACCTGATCACTGTGTGCTGCGCAATCATCTTAGTTACAGTTTATTACGACGCCCCCTCAGTAATTACATTAGCATTTGTTTACATTGGCCTTAAGGCATGTGTAAGTCAATGTATCCTCACACACACTCACACATACACAGTCCTCCGAGCTGTGGGTAATACAACACTAAAGGACACAGGAGAGAAAACTGCTGCCGTGTTCTCTGTCACTGTGGAAACTTTTGAGCAACTTACTGTTGCAGTGATCTCCCATTACCCTTTCAATTTAAAAACACATTTTTTACATCCTTGATTTGCAATGGTCACATATGTGGAACATGCCTAACAGTTTTAGTTGAGAGTATCACAGAAGTTATCTGCCATGTCGGTTTGCGTCACTGTTTAAATAAATGCAGAGAAAAAAAGAGTAAAGGACAAATGAGGACAAACAAGTGTTTCCTGCCTGAAGAACTACATAAATGCTGATGCAGGATAATTAATACCAATGATCAAGTAATGTAAAGGTTACTCAAAAGTCAACTAACCTAACAACATAATGGTACAGAACACACACACACACACTGCATGGTTATTTTTTCCGACTAACTCTCTATTTTTCTCTCTAATTCACACACACGCATGCCCACTTCCTCTGTGTGTAATTCATTAGTAAACAATAAAAAGGCGTTAATTGTGCTCCCCAGAGGCAGATCTGTGTTCCCCCCACTGGGAAAAAGGCACCCGCTGCATCTGAAGTGGCTTCGCCCCTCAATTAGAACTGCGCCTTTCCGACTCACACAAACAAACATGAGACACAGAGGAAAAGGAGTGTGTGTTTGTTTGTGTGTGTTTGTGTTGTAAATAAGCAGCGGCTTCTTAAAAGGGGTTTTAGATTATCACACTGTGAGGAGAGGGGAAACAGGCAGAGGGGAACAAAAGATAAGACAGACAGCTGACAAAGTTACTTTTGTTTTCTTCAGAGCTCAGTATATATAGTAGACAAAAAGAGTCAGAGTGTGAAGAAGAGGGATGTGAGGAAGAAATGAAAACACGACAGAGGAAGAATAGAGACACAGAGGGTATGAATGTGAGAGAGAATCAGACATGGCAAGGAGGTTCTAGAAAGAAGAAATGTAAGACTTTTATTCTTACGTCACTTATATAGTCATTTACTGAACGTATACCCTGTTACTCTGTTAACCTGAAGTCAGTACTAAGTTCTATACAATTCCTGTCAATTTACTGTTTTGTTCAAGGTCATTATGACATGCAGACAGAGAGCTCTACTTCAAACCAGGAGTCATCAAACCAAGGTGGATGCATTAGCTTTTAAAAAGCAGTTGAGCTGCAAAAAATGTTTAATTATGAGAATAACAACTTATACTTTAAGACAATATTACCTGGATGGAATTCAGTGTTGCCCTCAGTTTAACAAAAGTAGTAAAACAAATATTTTTTTGTGTAAAGAAGTTTGGAAGAAGTTCAAATCCTGCTTTTCATTTCCTCAACATCTGACCAATCGATGTAATCTTCTAATAAGGACTTTGGAAGGAGCATATCCTACATCAATCTTATATCTGTTAAATGTTATACCTAACAATATATAGTATTTCAGTGTAATGGTCCCATGCTTTGATATTGTATTTCTCTTGTGGCGTGTGAAACTTAGCCATGCATGTATTATCAACACCATAAAGTAGGCAATGCATTTTCCTCACTCTCTTTCGATGTGTAAATGAACACCTCTTTCCAAGTAGCTGTCATAAAAGAATCTGCGATCATTGGGATAATTTTGCCGTCACTGACACCCACACCCGTTAAACTCTGTCTGACTCTTGCCCTGAATGTGACAGGAAGTCCTGTATGCTCATGGTAGGCCTCCAACTGGTTCCCTTACCTCAGCACAGCGACGACAGACACACTGAGACACGCTTAGCTGAGCCTAAGTGCCCAGCGCCTGTCCCATTAGTAAAAAATAAACACGTCCCATTAGAAAAATAAATAACACTCTCTCGGCTTGGTAAAAACAATGCCACGCAGTGTATAATGAGGCAGCGCTGCCGCATGCAGGAAGTTTCATCTATTTGTAGTCATGCTCTGGTCCAAGGCACCATTATCTTTATCTTTGGGCTTGAGGGCGAGCAGACAAAGCTTAGTGTGGGTCAGCAAACGAATAAATGCCTGTTAGAGAAAGGTCAGAAAGGCCAAATATGGACATATGCTGGTCAGACTACTTTCTCACCAAATGATTTACACCCATCAGTGAACCAAAACAACAAGAATCAATTCATGACTGAGCAAAAAGAGTCAAGACATAATACTTTTTCAGTCATTCTACAAACACATTGAGTTCCAGGCTCAGGTGAGAAACTGAGGAAGTAAGCAGGAGACCAAGGGGAGAGGGCGGGACAATAAGACAATGAAGAGTTTCAGAGATACTGTAGTTCAGAGACTCAGAGCACCGTAGGTCGCCCTCATAACAACTTAGGCTGAAGGTTCACAGACAGTGAACTCATCTGCTAGGCTGCTCCGAGGAGTCACGCCAGTGCAGCTTTTAACAAATCATTTTAAAGATAACTAAAGATAATATATAGCCGGTGTAGATAAGCTTATTTTATTTATGCTATATGAGGGGAGCATTTTAACCATAAATAAGTTATGTAGTGTAGTGGAGGATACTCAAACACATTAATATTTATTTGGACATACTTAGCCACATATCACTACAGAGTATACATTAAAAAGATAACATAATTAATCTTATGCTGAGATAAGCCAAATGCAATCTCTTATGTAACTAATGTATGTGCATTGTTAACATCAAGCAGACCAATTCCAGACGGACAGATACGTGACTTTGTCAATGTCTCTATGTCCTTCTGTAAAAGTAAAGTTACCATCCTTCAAAAAACCTCAAAAAGGTTTGAGATGACTACTTTTAAAAACAGTATTTGATATAAAGTTTAACAAAACTAAAGGTTCAAGGTCAAATGATAAATCGTA